TAAAATTTTATTTTTTTAATTTCAAATTTTCATTTATATAAATCTTGATTTTTAAATTTTGAGAATAAAATAACTCAAATTTAATTTTCAAACTACTATTACGTAACTGATTTGGGTGGTAATGCTAGGTGGGTTTATTTTTCTTTCTGTACGTAGCTGAAATACTAAATAGTGATATTGAAAATTTTATGTTATACAGTTAAATATTATATAATTTATTAATTCAATCATTTAAATTTGATTGGATGTTCTTTGACACCGATTTTTAGAATATTTAATCTTCAAACGATGCTTTTTTTTTTTTTTAAGTCTAAAATCTCGATAGTTTATTAAATCAAACAGAAATAAAAAATGCATTGCATGTAAACAAAAATGAATACTTTAATTTAATCAAAATTCTTAAAATTGAGCAGAAAATGCAGATGACCTATTTGTGGTATGCCCAAACATTCAATTTATTAACATTGTTTATGTAGTTAAACCTTTATAAGTGCACGCACTTGGGACCAAGCTTTAACAACGTGCAATTAGAGAACAATATGAATTTGAGTGCGCATTTAGAGATGGTGTGCACTTATAGAGGGTGCACTTATAGAGGTTTTACTGTAAATTGTTTTCTTTATTATTACTCTTTTTCATGTTTATACTAACGATTGTTAAGTCACAATTCTCAATTTACTTCGAACTATTTCTGGAAAAGAATTTATTGAATTAGAAAGCTAAAAGCTTGTCCATTTTCCAAGTATAATAATGATTCGTATTTTGTCAAAAATGCTTATGAAACCACCGTAAATTAGGATCCCTGGATTTAACAATTGCATGATGCCACAAATCCGCCAATATGTTAACAAATATGCTGTAACGATTTAAATTAATCTATACAAATATCTCCAAAGAATTTTAGTTATTTGTCTTACATAAATGCCAAGACAGCATGTTACCATATCCTGGTCTAGATATTCGTAGATCCAATATTCATTAAGCCATCATGAAGCACCAACCTGGTACACATTTTCTGGGTGTAATTGTTTTTGATAAGAGCTAAAATTAAAAGTCTATCTTTTCCTAAATAGTAAAAATTAAATAAGAATTATTAATAAAAATAATTAAAATTAGTGTTTTTATATTAGTAAAAAAAATTTGACTTAACTCGATAAGGCAATTATTGATAAATTAAAATTTAATATTTAGCTTTTAAAATTCTAGGACATGCTTAAGTTCCAAACTTTAAATCTCAATTTCTCATCAACTAAATTGTCTAATTTTTTTTAAAGTTTATTTAAAAATTTTATGTGAAAAAAATTTTTAATAATAAGTTGTAGAGAGGGGGATACTTTTTATTTGTATTGAGTTTCCACCGCACCTCTATCCCGACATAATGCTACGTATTATTCTAGTTGTATATATTAAAATGATCGATAATCTTTATCGGATTATTACGTAATATATGTGATCGCTTCCTAGGGTAGTTGTTTAGATTTCGTTGAGTTCAATATGTAACAATAAATATGCTTTAAATTTTTGGTTTACCGTATTAAAATTATTCAATTAGCTTTATTTGCAAATCTTTAATAAATCACTTACAAATATGTATAAATTATATTTTATGAATTTATAAGAAAAATTGCTTTTAAATACCACGACAAATCTAACCTATTTTATCTTTCATTTATCAAGTGAGAAGCGTTACCTAAGAATAAAAGAACCACCAAATAATGTGTAATTTACTAGTATCTGCGATAGATTTGTCGTACTCTGACAAATAGCTTTATCAGTACAACTTTTTTTTTTTTACTTACCCCTCTAATATAAAAGCTTCTCACTTTTTTTAAAAAAAAAATACAGGTAAATATGACAGTATTTCTCAAATTTTCGCCTAATTATTTATGAATAAAAAAAAAATAGCATATAATGACCAAAACTTCCGAGATTGAGAAAAGGCAGAGTACTCAAAGTATTTGCCAACGTGTCCGTGCAGGAGGAACGGGGCAACTAGGAATGCTATTGTGCTGCGATAACACAAATAGCACTAATTGCTTAGCCAATCCGCCAACTTGCACTAATGTTAATAAGTTAGTTCAATGTTGGAGCATTAAGGGACTTGATGCTTGCATTAGTAGAAATGACACAACTTCTCAAGGGGTTTGTTCGCATCAGAATGATGATGGCATATTTTGTTTGGAAGGGAATACTGATCGACAATATAACAATACTGATAAATACGCTAGTGCAGTAAATTACATGTTAAGTCGTTATACGGCTAAAGATTCGGTTAACGGAGCTAATTGCGAGTCTAGCGCATGTCCACAGATAGGTTGTGACTATGTTAACCTTTGTCGTAAAGTGAATTATGAAGACTCTCTTGCTTCAGGAGGTTGTCAAGTTGCGAATGATCTGGGTGGTACCGATCCTCTCTATTATCAGGTAGAAATATGTGGTACAAGCTATGATACCATCATAGCACCACAGGCATCTTCTATACCTATCAATACCTATGTAATTCGCCCATCATCAACAGTATCAAATCCGTCTATCGCATCAAACCCATCTAATAGTGGTCCTAAAATGACGCCTAGTGCTTCTATTTCAAATAACAATTCGTCTAGTGGTGCAAATCCAGGAGTAACAGCTGCAATAGTAATAACAGTATTAATCGTTACTATCATATTCAGTGTAATATTTTATAAAGTTAGAAAAGGAAGAGAGCGAGATAATTCCTCTCCAACGACAAGCAATGCTGATACTGTGGTTAATAATCCAATAATTAAAGGATATAAAAATTTATTTAAATAGCATGTTGATAATTAGGTTTATGATGGTAACTACTTATTGACGCTTTATATTTTTGGTTTGCTCATATTTGATTGTGATGCGTATAGACCGTTTATTACATTTATGGTGTATTTTATTTCTATCATGCAGAGATCGTAAAAAATTTCCTTCTAATCCTTAAAAAGGAATTTTCTACTCCTGCCGTTTTTATGTATTATTTTAAATTTAAATTTAAATTTAATTTCATTTCAATTTATATAATATATGTGCTAGAAAAAAAAATAAAAACAAAAAAAAAAAGTCAAAAACAAAATAAAAAATATATATATATACCAATTGTAAAATTATTATCAATTTATAGTATAAAGTACTTATTTTTCTATTATTATGAGTGTTTCTATGTGTGTTTTCTATTCTTTTTTCTAATTTTTGTCACCTTTTCTTTTTTTTCAGATTTTTCACTAGTTTGATGAATAGATAATCACTGATTGTCAAAGTTTGTAGTGAAAGGTTTTTAATTTTTTGTTACCATTCACCAAGGTTATTTCCTGTAGCTTTATTGTTTGATAAAATTGTTGCAAAATATTTGTTTCTGTGTATGTTGGCTTTACTTATTAGTAGATCTTTAATTTTGATTTATATAATTTTCAAGACAATAAAAAAGTTAAATCTAGGTAAATATGATTAACTTTTATTTCCAAAACCTGCTCTATAAGTCTCATTTTATCTTATATAAATAAATAATTTAACTTATAAAACAAATTTTATAGTATTATATATAGTGGTTTTATTATTGCTGCATAACTCTGGTACATATTTTAAATGCATTAGTTTTGGTAGCTTTTGTAAGTTTTGCATCTTTGTCAGTCTTGCACTTTTTGTTACATTTGTATATTTGTTTGTTTTATCTTTTTAGTTATTTGTTTTTCAGATTTGTTATTTTGTTATTTGAGGTTTTAATTAATAATAAACAAAACTAGTATTATAAATTATCTTAAAATATATAAAAAATATCAGTATAGTAATATAAATTATTAAATAAATTAAGAGCCACAGAAGCAGCCCAAATATTTTACAGATATTTTATTATTATAGATTATTTATAATCTTTATAAACAATTTAGTATACAACAATTAATTTACAAACAAGATTATTTACTAATAATTAATTTACAAACAAATTTAATTTATAGGTAGTATATTTTACTGATAGCTTATTTTACAAACAAATTAATTTGGTTATTATTATTAAAATAAATAGTATACCTTTTAAATTTTTTTTTAAAAAAACCTTGTTATACTACTTTATTAAATAAGCTTGTCTTGAATTAATTGTCTATAAATAAACTTTATCAGTGAATTACTTTTGCAGTAACTATAATTGTTAGTAAGCAACCTATTTATTATTTATGATATATTAAAAATCTAGAGATTATACAAAATTTAAGCCTATTTATATAGTATTAATTATTGAATATTTGTTTTTAATTATATTAATTTTATTTAATTAAGTATTTATTTTAAAAGGTTTTAACTTATTAAATTTGTAAATAAATATTCTTATATAGCTTTGTTAACTTCATTTTTGTTTGCACTAATTAAATAAATAAGATATTAAATTATAAGATATTTGAATTTATTTTATTTAATTTTACTATATATGTAATAGAAAAATATTAATTCATTATTAACTTTATAATAATTTAGAGTATATATTATATCTTGAATTAGAATAAATATAAATTAAATTAAGTTATATATACTGTAATTTTGAAATGTATCAAACCAATTTTTTATTTATATATTATAACTCATTAGAAAATTTTTTTTAGTAAAAATTTTCACAAATTTTTAAGTAAATTAAATATATAAAAATTTGCACAAATTTTATAACCTGCTAATATAATTAAAAAAAAACCATAAAATTTGTACAAAATTTTTATTAATTAACTTTACAGAAATTTATATTTTTTTTATAATATTGTAATTAAGTAGTTACTAGATTGTTACCAAATTGATCTAATTTTTTTTATATTAATATAAAATCGCTATTATAAAGTTATAATTATGGTAACCACATTGTAACAATATTATTATGAACGCATCACTTTAAATAAAGGAATAAAATCGATCCATGCACACATTAACCTGCGTACAATTAAACATATTTTTAACAGTCATTATCAGTTCAATGTTCGGTTCACATACACATCTCTAAGAGTCCGGATATCAGATATCCGTAAATATATAAAGAGCCCTTTTTATCCATGCCTATCAATATATCGTTTTTTATACAATCTTATAGCTTTACTAAAAATGCCTAAATATAAAACTGTCCGCCCTCGTATATACAGAGATAAAAATGGATTTATCTCTAGTATTTTGATTAGAGGAAATATAAATGCAAATTTCAAATTTAATAAAAAAAAAATTCTTGAAAAATCAGATAAACAAATAAAAGCAAGTTTTGCTTCAGTTATATTACTAAATTCAAAAGAAAAAACAGAAGTTGTAACTTTCAATCTCGAGGATGTAATTTACAACAAATTAAGCAAGAATTTAACTGTTGTAACAGCTACAACAGGAACAATTAAATTCCACGTTCATGAAATCAGAGAAAAGATGAAAAACCTGACTTTACGTTTAGAACATTAGTTTACTTTAGTTTACTTAATCAAAATTTTAATATTTTTCTTATTTATTTTTACTTCTCTAATTCTTATGTGACCACTACGTATATGTTTTCTAAATCCTGTGACGAAGTTTTTTTTTTCTGATTTATATAAATAAAATTTGATTTCACATTCGTACGTATATGTAGCACATTCGAAATTGTTATTTAGAAAGTTTATCCACGTGTCATGCTATATCGATATTACACACACACTTACTTTTATAAAATAAATTTAAATATGATTGGCTCGCATCTGCACCATACTAGCTGGTGGCGTCATTTGAACTCAGAAACTAAATATCATGTAATTTAATTTACCAAATCTTACATAAAATTACTGAAATTTAACAACCCTATCAGTAACTCATCCAATTTGGTATCATGATAATACTTACCAGGGTTATATATTAATTCTAACAAAATTATTTTTACCAAAGTTACAAATTAATTCTGCCAAACTATGTTTACCAGAATTACTGACTAATTCTACCAAAATTATGCTTACCAGAGTTACAAATTAATTCTACCCAAATTAAGTTTACCTGAGTTACGAATTAATTCTATCTAAATTATTCTTACTAGAGTTACGAATTAATTCTATCAAAACTAAGTTTACCAGAATTACTACTATCAAGATAATGTTTACCAGAGCTACATATTAATCCTAACAAATTATGTTTACCAGAGTTACGAATTAATTCTACCAAAATTATGATTACCAGAGTTACGAATTTTTGACAAGTATTCAGGAATGTCCTTACACATATCATGTATGCTCGTCAATAATAAATTGTATTCGGATGATTTAGCTCTTCCTATAGCACCACTTGAATAACCATCCTTTGCTGAAATAATGTTGTTTGCTTATCGAATCTTGATATGACACTTTCAAAGATCGAATATAATCAACTTCAACTTTGTTCGTAAGATCTTTGCATTGAAAAATAATACGTAATGATCATGACTGCCGAACATATCTATGCCACCGTCTCCTCTTGATATCCTACAAAAAAAATAACTGTTCATTATTGTCAAGGAAAATGCTCTGGAGCCAATGCAGTCATTTATCCATGCATCCTATTCACTACAGACTCAGGTGAGCTTTTCTGATGACAGATAAACAGAGAAGGACGTTCACAAGCAATTATTACTTGGCTCTAGTAACATCCCCTGTGGCCACGGTGCGCTTCAGGTTCTCTGCTTATCATATTATCATAGTGGTAGCGTAACTTTAGATGCATAACAACTAAACGTCACTTAATGATATAATTAACTCACTTAACCCTTTGGCAGTCAATCTTTAATTTCAAATTCTTCACCTTTAGAAGAATTCATTATTGATAATAAAATTTCAAATGATTAAAATTTTTTTGAATTTCGCACCCGATATTACTATATATCTTTTCGAACAAAATAGGGGTGAGAAGTTTCGAAGATTACTGTGCCACATAATTAAAAATCCATCTGATTGGTTGTTGACCCTTGAATGTAATTAGGATAAAGTCTGTTCCATAATTCCGGCCAGAATTATGTTATAATACAAGATTTTATTAAATATACTTAAGTATATAAGTTGTATAAAACTTAAATAATTTTAATTGGTTTATATTATTATCCGTCAGGTAGTATGTATACACTGACAGAAAAAATTTCATATTATTGCTGCAGGTTATTATTAAAATCACGTGACATGTACTAATTGTAGATTTTTAAAATTCACAATTTCATCTTTTTTAAAACTAATATGCCCAGAATAAATTACATATTGAAAAACAAATAATATTAAAAATGGTAGTGGAAATGATAGTGTATTTCCTTATTATTATTATATTCGGATGAAGATTCATGAAGTTGCTTAATATTATGAAAATTTGGTATAAAATATGGTGCCGATTGATTAGAAATAGACTTTAAAGGTGGTCATTGACCTGATAATCTTAGAATACAGGACCTGAAAGTGGATTTCTTGTCATAATTAGACCTTATTGAAGTTGGAGTAGATGCTGAATTACTTAAATCTACAAAAATTATAATATAATTAAAATATATCGTTAGCGATAAATTAATAACTAGAATAATCCATACCCGAATA